TGAAATTAATAGGTAGCAGGTTTAAAACAAACAAAAGGAAACATTTCTTCACACAGAGCACAGTGAACCCATGGAACTCCTTGCCAGAGGGGTTGTGAAGGTCGAGACTATAACAGAGTTCAAAAAAAGGACTAGATAAATTCCTGGCAGTTAGATTCATCAATGGCTGTTAGCCAGGATGGGTAGGAATGGTGTCCCTAGCCTCTGTTTGTCAGAGCTGGGAATGGGTGAGAGAGATGGATCACTTGATGATTCCCTGTTCTGTTCTCTCCCTCTGGGGCATGTGGCATTCCACTGTCAGAAGACAGGATACTGGGCTAAATGGACCTTGGTCTGACCCAATATGGCCACTCTTATGTTCTGTGAGCCAATAGTGGGTTTATACAGGCGCCAAAGGAGTGATGGTGCCAGGCCCACCCACAGCAGGGCCCCCGCTGGCCAGGCTGAGCTCTCTCCCCTTCTGAGGCAGCCCAGAGGCTGTAGTGCAGGCTCTCCTCTCTGGCCTTTCCCCTGCACTCCTCTCTAGGTCCGCTGGTTGACCTAAGGCAGTGATCACCAACCAGTAGATCGGGATCTACTGGTAGATCTTGGAGCCTCTGTGATGTAGTGGGGCATCTTGCTGGTCGCTAGGCTCGGGCTGTCCCCTACTGGCCCTGTCTGTGAGCACGGCTCAGCAGGGGTGCCAGACACTGCCTTGACCCGTTCTGACTGGGGTGGGGGGGAGGAGATTGGAACAAAGGAAGTACGTGGGGGGAGGAAGAGTTAGTCTGGGGCTGGAAACATGATGGATGGAGACAGCCTAGGGAGGGGGCTTGGAGACTAGGGCCTCAGGTACCCCGCCTTAAGGGGTCTGAGGCATCCTAGCCCCCTCCTATTGCCACATCACATCTATGCTGTGCTGTATTCTGGAAAATCAATAAACCCCTGTCTATTCTGCTGGCGGGTGGAGACTGTTCTGGCAGCTGCAGGGGTGCAGGATCGGGGGAACCCCGACTACGCTGTCACAGCCTCTGACAGGTGATCCTGTCTGGTTTGGCCAAGCAAGTGCCAGCACTTCAGCTGCCCCTCCCCTCACTGCTGTGCATCTCCTGCCCTTTGCCTTAGAGCTGTCCCCTCAGGAGCCTCCTGCTTGCTGTGCAAGGCAGGGGAGGAAGAGGAGGGTGCTGATGTCGAGGTTCCCCCTCTCCCACTCTGTATCCTATCTCCACAGAGCAGAGAGGAGACACAACAGGACTTGGGAGGGAGTTTGCTGGCTGCTTTTGGGAGTAGTACAGGGCCAGGGGAGGGGTGGGCCTGCCTTAGCCCCACTGCTCCACTACCCAGAAGCCACCTGAGGTAAACAGTGCCCAGCTGGAGCCCACATCCCGAAACCCCACCCCAATCACAAACCCCCTCTGGAACCCCTGCCACCGCTGCATCCAAATGCCCTCCCAGAGCCTGTACCTAGAACCCCCCCGACACTCCAACTGCCTGCAGCTCGCAGCCCCTCTCACGCGCCAGATCCCTTAATCCAAGGCCAGAGCCTGTATCCCAACCTTCTGTCCCAGCCTCAGGAAAGGGAGGGAGAGAGGCTGGAGTGAGCAGGGACAGGGCCTCGTAGAAAGGGCACAAAGGAGGCGGGGCAAGGAAATGTGGGTTTCAGGTAGATCTTGGATTGCACTTAGATTCAAAAAGTGATCTCCAGCATAAAAAGGTTGGAGACCCCTGACCTAGAGCTTCTCCCCCCCACCCCCGTCCATGACACTTTCACTTCTTTCTCTGCATGTCCGCGGAGGGCTCCTCCACTCTCCACTCCTGCTTTCTGTCACCTCACCATCCACAGGCCTGCTGCCGGACAGGGGAGGGGGCTTGGAGAGAAGGAGCCCTCAGCCACTGCCACTCCAGTCCTCCAGGCAGGCTATGCCAGTGACTGATAGAGGGTCCATGGTCACTTCAGACTCCCCCAGGGCCAGGAAGCTCAAAGCCTCAGACCAGAATGGAGGGGGTCCCTACAGCTGCTCAGCTCTGAGACTGCAGCAGCAGACGAAAGGGCAGCAGGGCAGGCTGCCAGGGCCCGGAGCCACTCACACATTGCTGGTATCAGGTGTGAGTCGGGGAGGATGGGGGAACACCGAATTTGGGGGGGCCCACCAGGTGCAATGTGCTGGGAACAGGGATGCCTGTGCTGCCACATGTGAACAGAGGGATGGGGACACTATCAGCAGATCTCAGTTTCCACAGCAGACATGGCCCTACCCACTAGTTCCTCTCCTCTACATCCTTCCCCCCTTCCACCACTTGTGCCCCATCCCCTGCTCCTTCAAGGCTTAGAGCTCCCACTTAAAAAAATTATGGCCCCTTCCCCCTGCTTTTCTGCCCCCCCTGCTGCCAGGTATCCAGTTTTTAATCCAGGGGTGAAAGTAACTTAGGGTATGTCTACACTTGCACCCTAGTTCGAACTAGGGATGCAAATGCAGGTATTCAAAATAGTCAGTGAAGCGGGGATTTAAATATCAGGGGGTTCCAGTGTATGATAGGCTCTGGTTTGGAGTTGGGGGGGGGCAGGAGTGTTATAATGCTGCAGCCAGATGGGGACGTGGCCCCAATTGGGGGCTTGTTGGCCAGGCTTCATTTTTAAATAAAATATTATGTCAAACACAAAATGTTTCAGCAGCATCTTTATTTATGAGAGGGGTGGGGAACCTGTTTTGAGTCAGGGGTCACTGACCCACAGAAAAGTCAGTCAGGGCCACACAAATGATATGCAAAAGAAAAACCCATCCAAAACTTGCGGGGGGGGGACTCGGGGGGGGGGGGGGCAGGGTCTGGCCAGGGAGAGGAGACAGAGATGGTTGGGGCCAGTACCTGGGGATCCCAGGTCTCAGGAAGCTGTTCTTCTCCTCCCCTAAACAGCTGGTGCACTTCCTGAAATGCCTGGTCTGTCGCTTCACCAGGGACTTCCTTCCTGCCCTAAACAGCTCGTGTGCTTCCTGAAATGCTGGGTCTGTTGCTCTGCTAGGGGACTTCCTTCCCCCTGCTGCCTGCCTGTACAGGCTGTGCGTGTGTAGGAGTCCCAGGACTGCATGCCAGCTACACCTTCTCAGGAAGTGCATGCTCTTCCTCTTCTCCCCATGACAGCTGCGTGCTTCCTGAGAAGTTGGAGCTGGCATGCAGTCCCAGGATTCCTACTCCCTCCTGCAGCTCACTCTGCGCAGGCAGGCAGCAGGGGGAAAAGTCCCCAGTGGTGCAACAGACCCGGCATTTCAGGAAGCATGCCAGCTGTTTAGGGGAGGGGAAAAGCAGACTGCTCTAACCCAGTCCCCATCCTCTTCCCCAAAGCCAGACACCCCCCCACCCAATCCCCCTCTCCTCCTCTTCCCCAGAGCCAGGCACACACACCCCAACCCAATCCCCCTCTCCTCACCTTCCCCAAAGCCAGACACCCCCCCTACCCAATCCCCCTCTCCTCACCTTCCCCAAAGCCAGACACCCCCCCTACCCAATCCCCCTCTCCTCACCTTCCCCAAAGCCAGACACCCCCCCTACCCAATCCCCCTCTCCTCACCTTCCCCAAAGCCAGACACCCCCCCTACCCAATCCCCCTCTCCTCACCTTCCCCAAAGCCAGACACCCCCCCTACCCAATCCCCCTCTCCTCACCTTCCCCAAAGCCAGACACCCCCCCTACCCAATCCCCCTCTCCTCACCTTCCCCAAAGCCAGACACCCCCCCTACCCAATCCCCCTCTCCTCCCCTTCCCCAAAGCCAGGCACACCCTCCCCAGCCCAATCCCCCTTCCCCCACTCTACCCTAATTCTTGGGTCCTGGAGCCACCGCTGCCGCTACAGCCGTGTGTTTCCCTAGGCGCTGGGGCATGTGTGCTGAGCAGCTGGCTTTGAGCATGAGCTGGCTGAGACGCTGTGCACAACCCAGTCCCCCTTCCCTTCACTTTCCCTCCCCTTCCCTTCCCCAGAGCCAGACACCTCCCCTCCCTGCTGTAACCCAATACCCTTCCTTCCAACCTTATACTCGGGTCCCGGAGCCAGAGCCGCTGCGCCGCATCCAGGACTAGAGTTGCCAGATGGTTTCAACAAAAATACCGGACACACTTGACATTACATCACAACCTACATTACATCTGATTTAGAAAATACCGGACATTTCTATTTTCTCATTTGTATTTTTTCAATTTGTTTCCTGACCAGAAAGCTCAAATACTGGACTGTCCAGTTCATAACCGGACACCTGGCAACCCAATCCGGGATGCCATGTGCACTGCCCCCCCGATACCCCTCGCATTCTCCAGAGCCAGGCATCTCTCCCCCTCAACCTTATGCCCGGGTCCTGAAGCTGCTGCCGAAGCCACTGCCTGCACTCAGTGGCCAGTTGCTAGCACGTGCAGGCTGGGATGGTGTGCGTGACCCGGCCTGCACATGCAGGACAGGATGCAGTGTGCTGAGGGCCGTGAGTGGAATGACGTGGGCCGTGAGCGTGCATGCTCTCACAGAGGCCTGGCTGTGAGAGCGGCTGACCTGAGCGGTTCCGGGTTCCATCCCAGTTCCATCAGGAGCCACAATTTTTTTCTTCGTCTCACGAGCCTCGGGTTGGCCACCCCGGCCTATACCTTGGTACACATAACAAAATTTGTTATGCACGTGGATGGAAAACGTTAGAGGGGTAATTTTCCAAGGTGAAGTACTGCACTAAAATCTGGTATTAGAACTACCTGAACCAGTACAGCTTCCCATGCATACTGGTTTGGCTAAAGACCTGACATAGATGGTATAATTAATTATGACCAGAGACCTGGGAGGACTGGTTTGTGTGGGTGCAAGTATCTGCACAGGTATTGGAATCCCTTGTGCTTGCAAAGACTGGTTCCTTGCCATGCTTTCTGTGCAGTGTAATCAGGGCTTTGTTTTAGATCGAGATTTCAGCTTTGGTTGAGAGCCCCACTCCTCTTCCTTATTGACTCTCCCGCCCCCAGTCTGGGTTCAGAGGAAGAGAGATGTCCGTACTTACCACTTTCCTGGCTTTCTCCTCCTGTATTGGGATCGCATCATGGTTCTTGTGCTCCTCCCGCACGCACGTGTGGCAAACTAACCCACCCTCTGTCCTACAGTACAGCTCCTGCAGCTTGTGATGCTTCTGGCACAGTCTGGCTTTCAGGTCACTCATGGGTTCCAGCAGCTGGTGGTTTTTAAAAGTTTTGTCTTCGTAGTGTAACTGGATATGGTTTTCACACAAGGAGGCCATGCACTGCAGGCAGGACTTGATGGACTTCACTTTCCTTGAGGAGCAGAGATCGCAAGGGATGTCATTGGGACCCACCGGCGGGAGCTTGGCTGTGGCCTGAGCCTCTTCCCGGGCAAACTTTTCTGCTATTTCTCCAAGGCTTATATTTTTGCGGAGTCGAGGCCGTGAGCTGAAGGGTTCTCGGCACTGTGGACAGTAAGGACACTCCCCGATCACAGCTTGGTGGTCCCAGTAATCCTGCAAGCAATCCATGCAGAAGTTGTGCCCGCAGGCGGTGGTGACAGGGTTTGTGAACACCTCCAGGCATATCGGGCACACGATGTTGTCCTCAAGGAGAAAAAAATTTGTGTTGCTCATGGTGATGGAATTCTCAGCTGGGATCCAGGTATCTCACAGATCCGGGTATCTCGAGCTGAGGGAAACTTAAACAGACACAGGTTTTCTCATGATATTCCCCTTTCAAGGCACTCTGTAGAAAGTGAGTCATAGATTTAGAACAGGGGTCTCAAACTCACAGCCTTGGGGACATCTGCAGCCCAAGCACTTCCATAATCCAGCCTGCACACAGCTGCTGGCACCTGACAGTGTGTGTCTGTATCTTACCCCAGTGGTGCTCAAACTTTTTTCATTCGCGACTCCCAGAGCTGTGAATTTTTTTCATTCGCGACTCCCAGAGCTGGGAATTTTTGAACAACAACAACAACAAAAAGCGCCAGGAACATTTTTTGTGGCCCCTTTAATTTAAAGGTCCACTCCCACCACTCCCATCGTGTGTACATCAGACACCGAGCCGCAAAAAAAAAATGCCGGCCGGCCCGGATCAAAGCGCTGAGACCCCCCAGGAAGACAGCTGCGACCCCCATGGGTTGCGCACCGTTGCCTTACCCCAAGTCTAGCCCCTGCTCCGCCCTCTCCCTGCCTCTGCCTTGCCTGCACATCACACTCCTTCCTTCGGATGTGGCCTGGGGAATTACCAGAGGTCTGGTGCAGGGCGGCAGTAGGGATTGGTGTCCTGCACTCACCACACAGCGGAAGCCGAGGGAAGCAGAGCAACTCAGCAGCCTCTGCCCTGCTGCCCTCTCCCAGTCTAGCCTGGTCGCTCTGCTTCACCACAGCAGCAGGAAGGGGATCGCCCCCAGCACGGGCTGATTTGGGAGACGTCAGCGGCGTGGAGCAAGCTGCTGTGTAGCTCCGCTTCCCCATGGAGTGCAGGTAGGGGGCAACCCCTGGAGCCAGCCCAAGCCCACTCAGGGCCCTAGGGACTAATCTGAGTATGGTTAAATATAGGATGGTTGGGGCGGCCACCATGGGACCCCTCAAAGCAGTGGTGGCACCAACGGGGTTTAAATTGCCTGGGGGTGACAGGTGGGGATGCACGGGAGAGGGGAGCATGTGGGCCAGGAGGCAGGCCTGGGAGATATGTGGGGGAGGGAATGTGTGGAGACCCCCCAGCCTAGAGCCCTGCCAGAGAGGGGTGCCCGTTGGCCCACTAGGAAGATTCGAGGACTGGCCCTGGTCTAAGATAGACTGTGTGTGGGACCCCTGTTTCAGAACATTTTTATAAAGCTGGATGTTCTGATGTGAGAGGCCATGACCAGATTTTTAAGGCAAGAAGGGACTGTGCTGATTCTTTGTTACGGCCTGGATTATGCAGGAGGTCAGAACCTCTGATGGAACTAGGGTTGCCAATTTTGGTTGGACGTATTCCTGGAGGGGTTTTCACGTGACATACTCTTTCTCAAAAGACAAATCTTTAATTCACGGGTGGGGAACCTTTTTTGAGTCAAGGCCGCTGACCCACAGAAAAATCAGTCCGGGGGCCGCACCCAAATGAGAAGCCAACTCGCCCCTTTCCTCCAAAACCCAACCTCACTGACTTGGCCCCTGACTGAGAAGGAGAAGGATACTCTCCACATTCCCCTAACACTCCAGAACCTAATAGGGCCCAAGCTAGGAAATTTTATGTGCCCCAGTGGATTCAGTGGCTCTCAGCACCCCCACTGTCCAAACTGTCCCAGCCCCACTGTAGGTAAATTGTTGCAATGGTTAATTAGCCTTCTTGTTCAAAATGTGGGTGTAGTTAAAAAAAGAGGCCCTTCTCTCATCCTTGTCATTTAAAGATCTTCATGCACGTCCCAGAAATTAATTAAGCTTCACAATTGCTAAATAAATTATTTTTCATTGTCCCCAGTTCATAGATGTGGACAGCAAAGCACAGAACAGTTGAGTGAGTGTCTCACAGTCAGGGAGAGTATATCTACACTGGGATAACAGACCTACAGCTGGCTTGGAGCAGCTGATGTAGGCTCACAATGCTCAGACTGTGGGGCTATAAAATAGCAGTGTAGATGTTTGGGCTGGAGCCCACATGGAGTTCCAGCCCTCAATGTCAACATTGCTACTTTATCACCAGAGCTCCATGAGTTTGTATCTGCTAACCTGTACTCTTGGACTCAGTGACATGGATTTTTTATCAGTGTAGACATATGAGCTGGGAATAAAAGTCAGGAGTTCTAGATCCCATGCCTTACTCTGTCCTTAGATGTACTGCTCAGTATCTAGGAAAATACACCTCTGCTTGAGCAGTTCCTTTCTGTGGGTCAGTCTGCATCTGAGGCTCTGTGCTTGCTTCCTAGCTTGGAGGGCCTATGGGAACAGCATACTCTATTGCTGGGTGATAAGAGAGAGGGAACTCCTAATGTTGAGTCCTTCTTAGGGTGTGTCTAGACTACATGCCTCCTTCGACGGAGGCATGTAGATTAGCCAGA